GGAAGACATGATTAATAAGATTCATTAATACAAGAGGAAATCTTATAACATCTTATAGAAGAGTTTTTATCTACTACCTGAAATGATTTAGATTTGAGGTGTTCCCCAAAAGCTCACATGTGAGACAACACAAACTTGTCTAGAGGTGAAATGATTGGATTATGAGGGCCTTAACCCAATTGGAGAATTAATTCCCTGATAAGGATTAACTGAATGGTAAATGCAGGCAGACAGGGTGTGGCTGGAGGAGGTGGGCATTGCCAGGTGTGCCTTTGGGGTATACATTTTGTATCTGGTGAGTGAAGTCTCTCTGCTTCGTGATCATCATGCCCTGGTCTGCATTCCTTCATCACACATTTCCACCATGATGTTCTATCTCATCTCAGGCCCCAAGGAGTAGAATTGGCCATCTATGAACTGAGACCTCTGAAACCGTGAGGCTCCAAATAAGCTTCCTCCTCTAAAATTGTTCTTGCCAGGTCTTTTGATCACAACGGCAAAAAAGCCGACTAAAAAACAACCGTAGCTATTATGAGATAGAACCTTATTTTACAAATAGTGAGAAAACTGAGTTCCAACTGAAGTCATGCTCTTGCCACAGGCCATTTCTGCCAAAGACAGGAGCAAAATTCCCCAAGACAAGGGATAATTCCATTCTGTCTGCTGTCTGTGCAGATCACAGAGCCTGGCTGATCACCATGTCTTGACACAGCAAAGAGGAGGACTGTGACAGTGGAAGTTGAGGGGCTGGTCCTTCAGCTTTCTCTGGTTAGCAAGGCCTTTGATGGAACTGGACCTGTATTAGGGAGGACTTCTGCTCTGTCCTTTGAGTGTCCCTTGAATGCAGCTCATTACCTGGCCAAGGGCCCAGTGTGTCTATGTTAGAAAAATCTTTCCTTTTGTGAAATAAAACTTCCTAAATAGAAATAAATCTGTAGATATGTCCTTCTGGAATCAGTCCCAACTTGATATTCTAACTTGCTGAGATAATTACAGAGATGAAAAACTTAAGATCTAAAACAAGTCGCCAAAATCTAGTAGCTTAAAGAAGAGTTAAAAAAGATACCAAGTGGACTTAGCGTAAGACAGGAAGTGCTAATTTGCATGTCTTGCATCAAGAAAGTGACATCTGCCTAGTTAACATTTCTTCAAAAACATTGGGCTTGCCAAACAAAATACCTAAAAAAAACATATCCTCGGGATTCTGGTCTAAGTACTGACAGCTGGCATCCCATATTTTAGATAAAAGAAAAACAATCATTTTGGTTCCCTACCCCCCAGTAAGGATACAGATACTTAGAGCCTCTAGGAAAGGGAGGATAAAGCAACCCAAACCACAGTAGTCTAAGAAACAAGCTGCATTAGGGTTGTTATGTGCATCTTGGAAGCCATGTGGGAGTTCTAGACACTGTCTTCAAGTAGTGGCACCCCACTACTTAAAACTGAACTTGGGTTTAAAGACCACCCCAAATTGCCCACTTAATGCTTGTGGTGATTTCTGACTTGCCTTTGTAGGATCTCTGGGTTCAAGGACAGCAGTCTGAGAACTCATGGTTTCATTAGGTTCCCACAACTGACAGATAAGGAATCGGAGGTTCAGTAATTGGATGGGAGCAGTCCCAGTTGACAGAAAGCAGGCCCAACCCTGGTCTGACTGAGCAACAGCCAGTTTTCTGACCCTATCAGTTACTCTGGGTGGAGATCAGTGTAGTTTATAGAGAGCTAAGCAGGCTCCTGGAAAGAGAATGGATTGTAGTTGAGAACCCTGGTCCCAGAACTTTTTCTTCCCATGTGATACTTACAAGGTCTCGATACACAAGTGACATTTATTTCCATATGTGATGTAGTCAGAACCACAAACTGGCATGTTTGTGATGGGGCAGGGGATGGCCACCACTGGGTACTTCTTGTAAATGCTGCAATCCACCTCCTGGTTAGACAGAACAGAATGCACTGCTCTTTACTCAGACCTCAAGCAGTGTGACCCTGGCTACAAGAACTAAAAGTTTCAGCTTAGATCTTCTGGTGTTGCTGAGGTTACTTTTATAAGTAATAATATCACCAATATGATGAATTCTATTCTACTAGCACCATTTCTGTTTTTAATACTATACTCAGTTAGCAACTGATGAGCATTTCTGTGCCAGGCACTTAAATTTTACATGAATATTCTTTGTTTAATATTTAGAACAATTGAATAGGGAAAATTCTGCTGTTTCTTCTATTTCTGGATAGGGAAAGGAAAACTTAGAAAGAGATATTACTTGTATAACGTCAATGCTGGTAAGTGGTAAGATTGGATTGAAATCCAGAGCCTGGACAATTAATTGAGGTGCTTCTGTTCTGCCTCTCACATGTTTTTCCTTCCATGAAAATGTTACCAGTCTCTTGGCTGGAAATCAACTCTTTTCTTTAATTCTGGAGTTAATAAAATTTTTCAGCTATGGTCATATATATTTATGTCATATTTCTTCAACTACCTTATGTGAGCACTATTTTGTTGTCCGTGTTTGCCTCCCCATTTACGCTCCCCTAAACATGTAGAATTAATCATGCATCTATGTTTCACAAGTATTCATTGACTGACAGTCAACAGAAGTAGAAATCAAAGTATTATTTAACATACTCACTGTTTTTAAAGGTTGACTGGCAACTTCTGAAAGACAGATACAGATGGAAATGTTAAGAACAGAACAAAGCCTTGAAATCTCATTAACTAGTGTTAAGTTTTGTTCTCATTCCTTTGGCAGTGAGTCTCAGCACACTCCTCAACTATATGTAAAATCTCAGTTCTTTGCTGAGGAAGTCGAATGGCCAAAGGGTTAGGCAAGAGAATTATATAAATATCCCTTCTTTATTAATGAAGGGCTGTCTTCTGGAGCTTGTAGTGCTTTTTATTGTGATTCAATGTCAATAATAGTAAGAAGTGCAGTGCTGCTTGTGACAAGGCTCCGTCTTTGCTATCCTCTCCCTCCCAATAGCCATAAAGGAATGTGATGGAATGCTTTATTTTAATCAGGCACATTTTTACCTTATAAAAGTCTAATTGTTTATTCTTGATCTCTGGATATGTGTTTTATTTTGATGCCCCTGTATTGATTTGGGAAGACACTTGAGTTTTCTTGCATCTCTGCACTAATAATAGTATCTAATAACACAGACAACTTCCATTGTCCTTATAAAATGGAAGACTTAGGAAAAATTAGTTTTTTTTTTAAATCCATGGATGCAAATAAGAATCTTTGAAAAGGAAAACATTAGATCCAACTCCCTCAAGCTCCAGTTGAAACAAGAGTTTCGCTTTAGCCAGAGATTTTTTTTTTTGCTTACAAACCAGCACACTTTAAATCTACCCAACTACACATTTCTCTCAGACACTCACATCCCAGGAGGGATTATTTGGGAAATCTGCTAATGGCTGTGTGGAACACTATTCCCCCTTAACTCACCTGAGCTGCTGCAGAAATAGGTCACTGTGCAGAGCAGAAGGAGACCCCCAGTGATCTTCATGGTGCCAGTGGCTATGTCACAGAGGCTGCCCAGAGACAATCACACCACTGCCATGCCCTAGGAAAGGGATCGTGTTTATATGGCCTGCCTTGGATTCTCCACCTTCCCTGTGAGGTCATCCAGACACAGTGTTGGCACTGAAAGGATCTCAAAGCAGGTCACACCCAGGCGATGTTGCAGTCACTTAATTGTTACTTCCTATTTGACCAATAAGTTGGTTATTTAAGGTGAGAGGTATACTTCTGACTGTTACTTAGAATTCTAAAGTTCACATAGAAGTGTTTAACTATTTCACTTATTATGAAATAAGTGAAAAATTCAAGCTTTCTTTATTTTACTAATGGAAAATATCAAGCCCAGACTACTCAGGCTATACCTGTGTTTATATTTTGGCTCCTGGGAAATATATTTTTAAAAAACCTTTTGAAGCAATGCATATATAAAGAAAATGGGACCTGATGAAAGGTATAGGGGCTTTAGCATTTATGAGGCTGGAAGAGGGTCATTGCCATATTACTTTTGACATCTTCTAGCACTGTGGTCTTGGATAAGTCATTTATAAGCCATGAGACCATATCAGTCAGAAAAGCTTGCTTGGACTGTGGTAACACAGCCCTGAGATTTCATGACTTATAACAATATAAATGGGTTCCCACATATGGTAGGGAGCTGATATGCTGTGTTCTCTTCCCTTTGGCTGCCAAGTGGACTGAGGACTGCTTGGAATATTGCTATAAGGTGAAGCAAAGTCATAATCCTGAGAACATGCCTTCTCATCAGTGAGATATGCATCCCAGCTCAGAAGCAACACCACTACCATTTCCCCTCTGTCACTGACTGGCCTTTCCCAACCACAGAGATTACTTGTCTTCTGAAGGCCAGAAGGGGGAGATCTGGAAGTAGCTGGCAAACAGCCCAGAGATCACACCACAGTCTAAGTTTCATCGTCTGTCCAGTGAGGTCTGTTGTTAGCCATAACACAGTTATGTAATTGGAACCTATTATGTGAAATTCTGTCCTATAGCACAGTACATTTGATTATGGTATCATGATTATTGATTTTGTCAATGAGCAGCCCAGAGTCAATTCTATGAATTGCTTGCATTGGCCAGGCACAATTGCCCAAAGAACTTCTCTTATCTTTTGAGCTCAGGGACATGTGTATGAAAACCTGGGGGAAGGCAATAGACTGTTCTATCAGTCCATTGCTTAGCAGGTTTATTTAGTACATTCTGAAATGCAGCATTAACAAAACATATTATGTAAATAATAAATGACACAGAAGGACCTGCTCAAGTTTGAACTCTTTTATCTTATGGAAGCAATATAATCTTGCGGTTAAGAACATAGGCATTGAGTCTAGTGGATCTCATTTGCAGCCTTCCTCTGAAAAATATGATTGTGTGCCTTTGAATGTGTAGGTTACCTCTAGATAGTTTAATTTCCTTACCTCTAAAACAGATATTTATCACTCAGGGTGTTTTTGTGTGTTAAGTAAATCTTCATAGACACACACACACACACACACACACACACACACACATGCTCACACATACACAGAATCATGTATTACTTAACAATGGGAGATGTGTTAAGAAACATGGGTAGTTAGGCAATTTAGTTAATGTGTAAACATTATAGAGTGAAATTACATAAACGTACATGACCCAGCCTACCACACACTTAGGCTATTTATAGTACACATACTATTGCTCCCAGGGCCTTCTGAACAAAACATAAAATTAATCAAGCACAAGAGAAAATGATGCAATTAAGAGCCACAGTAAGCAAGAGATCCTTGAGACTGCAGCAGGCATCCCAAAGCATATTATTTTACAGTTATCTTTTTTATATAAGTAGGATCATATGGTAAAATAATGATAAAAGTGTATAGGATAGTAAATACATACACCAGTACCATTATCACTTATTATTGTTAATGAGTATTATGTGCTGCATATAATTGTATATCCTACACTTTATAAGAGTGGTGCTGCAGTAGAGCTATTTATTATAACAGCTCACCACAGATGTTCCTAATGCTTTCACTCTGACATTATTATGGCCATACCATTTCTAGGTGATGGGGAATTTTCAGCTCCAATGTAATCTTATGGGACCACAGTCATATATGTGATGTGTTGTTGACTAATACATTGCTATCCTGTGCATGGCTTAATATATAACAATCTGTTAGGGATGTGAATGTGTGATGAACGTGTATGTATCAGGGTGTCAAGCTCATAATTAGATCTGCATATAGGTAGCTGATGGTATGGAACATGAACTCTTTGAAGAAAGAATTTTTATTACCCTAATTTTACCAGTGAGTAAGTTAAGGCTCAGAGGATTTAAGTCATCTTCCCAAGATCATGACACCAATTAGTGGAGGAGACTATGGAGTTCAGCCATGGAAAAAAAGTGAAGCGAAGGTTCTAATAAGGAAAGGTAATTGTCAGTTTTATTTTATTGAAAGTATGAAGATAATGAATAATGAGAAAAAACTATTATGTTTTAAGTTGAAGTGTATTTATGCACTCTGAAAATGTATTCTTAGCAAAGAGATGTAGGAATGGATTGAGGGGTGATCAGGAGTATCTGTGAATGTAGGGTTGTAAGTTATGTTTTTAGAAGATTGGTATATTGGTTTTCAAAAAAAGAGGAATGAAAAAGAAGCAGAGACTTCAACAAGGTCTGAGTAGATTGCATATGTCTTAAAATCAAAGGCAAAAAGAAAAGAAATGTAAAATACATAAGGGAGGGTGGCTAACTAGAGGCTGTTGAGGGGTAGGGAACAATATTAAGAGCACAGATGAAGCACTGTTCCCATTGACACAGAGAGAAGACAAGTGTACAGATGAATGTGGTTACTGATATTTTAATAGGTAGAGAAAGAGGGACAAGGGGGACCCATTGTAGGGCAGACTTGGGTAATTGAGTGCTGGGGTTTCTTTCTGCAGTGGAAAAATTGAGATGGCTTGGTAGCTTGGGAAAGAGGGAGAAGGCATGGCACAGTCATTGATGGGAATATATCAGACAGTTAACAGTGGATATAAAACTGATGGCCACTAGAAAAATTTAGCACTCTTAGTACCATGCTCTGTATTTTTCCCAAAGTTCATTATGACACTAAATGATAATTGAAGAACAGTGATTTTATGCCTAGGAAATGAGTATGTCAGAGATTTGAGGGGACCATAAAGACTGTGTTAGGAGGTAGCAAGCTTTGCAAGAGAGTCAAGTATTCTGAAAGATTCTGATGGACTATGCAAATTATAAACCTTTTTGTGTTTAGAGGTCAAGGTTTAGGCAAAACGTAAACCTAGTAGGTGTGGAAAGCATGAAGGATTATTTACACAGGTTGTGGCTAAAGGGCAAAGTGACAGATTTAATTTCTCAGGGGTGAGGCTGAGTTAATGATCCTCCAGATGTATTCAAAGATAAGGCACATGAAGTTTGGGTGGAGATGAAGTTCTCTAAATTTAAAAGGATGAGAAAATACGAGTGAGGTCAAGGGATTAGGAGTAGTGTTGCTTTGGGTTTTGGCAGCTATTTATAGGGAGAGGAAATTTTCATGTTGGACACCAAGCCATGAAAGGTCTTTTGGAGATGAGGAATGAGTCTGGGAAGATAAAATGAGTCCATTTCAGGCTGCGGGTAGCTTGTTTATTCCTTCTTATATTCCTGCAGAGGTGGGGGCATAAACTTGAGCTTTGTAAGAGGATCTATCATGGAGGCAGGTTCATCCTGGGGAGGGCAGAAAAACATAAAAGTGAAATAAGACAAGAGTTTGAGAGTACTGGAGATTTCTTTTCCAATAGATTGGGGTCAGGAGGGAGCAGGATGGTTCCTTAAAGGGATAGAGAAACACGAGGGAGTTAAGTTGAAGTAGAGCCTGAACCAGTTATTCCTGGGTCAGTAAGTTGAAGGGACAGAGAGAACCCAGAACCATAGCTAAGGTAGTAATCCAGGGACAGAACAGTGGCTGTAGGAATGGAATATCACCAGGAAAACAACCATATTGAGTATTTACTATGTGCTAGAACTGTGCTATGCCTGCTATGTGCTCTATCTCATTTAACACTTAAAGCAATCTTAAGAAACAAATATGGTAATTCCCCTTGTTATTCAGCTGAGGAATCAGGGACTAAGAGAAGTAGCTAGTTTAAGCTGAAGGGCCAGTATTTTTTAGTCATTTTGATGTATTTCCTTTAAGTCTGAATCTAAGAAGTAGATTTGGAGACACATTGATTATGAAATAATAGGAGTAAAACTGGCAGAACCAGAGCAGTCAGGAAGGACAACTAATGTTTTTTCAGTATTTTTATTAGTACATTATAGCTATGCATAATATTGGGTTTATTTTGATATACTCATACTTTTATGTAATATGATTTGCTCCATTTCAACCCCTAGTACTCCACCTTTTCTCTCTTCCCTGCTCTTCCTCTACTCTTACTGTTCTTACTTTTATTTTTATTTTTATTTTGCTTTTTAATTGGTGCTTTATAGACATTCATAAAAGTGGAATTCACTGTGGCATAGTCATGTTTGTACATAGCATAGTTTGGTCAATTTCATTCAGTAGCTCCTCCCTTTTCCTGTGCCCCTTCCTCAGTCCTCTCCCTCTACACCACTGTGGTCCTTTCTATTTTCATGGTACTCCATCCTCCCCACTTAATATCTTATTTCTCTCTAGCTTCCACTTTTGACCCTTGACTTTTTGAGTTCACTTAGCATGATGTTTTCCAATTCCTTCCATTTACCTGCAAATGCCTTAATTGCATTCTTCTCTATGGCTGAGTAGAACTTCATTGTGTATATATATCACATTTTCTTTATCCATTTTTCTGTTGATGGGCACCCATCTTGGTTCCTTAACGTAGCTCTAGTGAATTGTGCTGCTATAAACATTGATATGCAGGTATTACTAGAGTATACTGATTTTTATTCTTTTGGGAAAATGCCAAAGAGTGGAATAGCTGGGTCATATGGTAATTTTATTCATAGTCTTTTGAGGACTGTCCACATTGCTCTCCAGAGTGATTCTACTAATTTGCAGTCCCACTAATATAGGAGT